TGTACTCGGCTAGGTCAAGACAAAGATGGTTTTGGTTTGATACGTTTGCTCGAAGTAAGGAAAAAGGTTACGGCGGGTTAATCACGTTTTTGATATAACTTTTTCGTTGAGTAGTGCAGAACATGTTTAGACGACAAAAATCCTTGGTTAGGTTTAGGAAAGCATTGTGTTTCAGGTTATATGAGTACATTTGAACTACTTGGTTAGGTTTTGAAAAACATCACGTTTCGGTTAAGTACGCTTAAAGCACTAGGTTAGCTACAAATTACAATTAAAACTGGTTGGTTGTTTAGGTTTCGGAAAAGATTGTTGAGTATGTTTACATTTTTAAGTTGGGTTAGAGAAAAGATTGTTGTTCAGGAAATACGTTAGTTTTAACTACTTGGTTAGGTTTAGGAAAATATTGTGATTAGAGTTAGATACAATAAGTAAGTGTGTGACTTTGGGTTAGGGTTATTTAAGTACATTAGTTACGCAAAAGTTAAAATAAGTCAACGCTGACTTTTAAACGAGACACAAACTGGTTATGTTCTTTACTTTTTGACCGATCCATCCAGCTTGATTTCCACCTTACATGGACTTTGTCGCTTCAGGGTGTCACCTGACTTCCGTAGAGTCTTTATTACTCTTTGTAGATGTAATTACTGATAGTAGATTAAAAACATCATAAATTATAGTATGTTCCTTTTGAACACTCAATGGATGCAGGTGTGAGAACGTTTCGTGCTGACGGACATGTTTCAGGATGTGTTCTCCCTCCCTCAGTGGCGATGGCTTCCTGCCGCACACAAAGGACCGGGCCATGAGGCTGGATTCCTCTCAGGCCTCCATGTGGATCTGCTTTATTGTGTAATCCAGACTGCAGCTCTCAAACAAAGCCAGGCTTGTCTCTCAGTCCGCGTCTCTGTAGCTCACCATCACTCTCAATCACATGCTCTTCTTCTACGCCTCTCTCTCAGTCTTTTTTATAGGCTTTCCTTCATTAGTCTGAAAAAAAAGACATGCTGTAAGACCAGGTCATTGTTTCAAACATTAGCAGGAACATAGTCACTGTTTGGAAATGATAAAAAACTAAGTAATAATGATGATGTTGCCACAGCATGTTGGGAAATAAGTAGAAATATTGAGTTGGGTAATGTTGATTCTGTGATGCAATTGGCTTTCATGGATGAAACACAGGGGAAAGGTGAAATGACATCAGGCTTACGTTTGAATTTGTTGTAATGGATTATTATAAGAAAGTATATTGTTTGTAGTATCAGGTAAACAAGAAAGACAATTACATAATTATTAGTTTTATTATTACCTTTATAATGACCTTTTTTAACATTAAAGCATGGAAACATGTTACAGTGGAGGCACTTAATGCAATTATGAACCTGAACATGAGCATCATATGTCCTCTTTAACACTATCTTTATATTGCAAGACAAAGGCAGCATAGCATACCCAATAAAAAAAAGGAATGACTTATTATGATTGAACTATCTTCATATCAATAACAACAATTACAACACACAACTGTTCTAGTTCAATATAGTAATTATGAACAAATGAGTCACTGAACACACTTATCCATTCACCCATGCAAACACACACACACACACACACACACACACACACACACACACACACACACACACACACACACACACACACACACACACACACACACAAAAACAGTATCTTAGAAGCTTCTTGGAAACGGTAAATGTGTGTGTGTGTGTCCTGCAAGGTGGCCATGTGAGTTGTTGGGTAAGTAGGTCAGTCATTAAGTCAGGAGTGGCAGGGAAGGAGTGCAACAACAACAACACACACACACACACACACACACACAGACACACACACGCTAAATCCATTACCTCATACAGTGGATTAGTGTCAACAGGCCCATCCATCTGTCTCCAGCAGGACTTGAATCAAGTGACTGTAAGAAGAGCAGCGGGGATTTGAGTTCCTGCCCACCTGTTTTCCCCCGTAAAGCCCCATGCATACCTGTAAGACATGTACACACACACACGCACGCACACACACACACACACACACACACAGTAGTACACAGAAGCAGGTCAGTAGGGTTACACCTGTGGCCCCCGGTGTGACTAGGTTCAAACAAACAAGAGAAGCACTTCCTGTTTCTCGTAATGAGTGTCAAAGAGCAGACTGAGAAAAAAACAACAGATTATTTGTATTTAACCCGGTGGAAAATCGGGTTTTCAGGACAGATGACCCATGCTATACTGAAATAAAACAAATTGAATATTATAATATAATATATATATTTTTTTTTAAATGTATAAAAGTTAGAACTATTAAAGTAAAAATCCCTCAAATGTGGTTGTAAACTGCAGCAAATAGATGTTGAGATATGTTGTTGCAGTTATAACAGAGAGATTAGAAAGTGTATTATTAACAAAGGGACCTTTTTTACAACCCAAAACATTGCTGTTTATGATTCTTACAGTTTCCTTGACCTATAAAGCTTTAGTAAATGATTATTTTAGAATGAATACAAAACATTAGATTAAACATGATATCATTATTATCAATCCTGGAGTATCACCAGCTGGTTCATTATTTACAAAAGAGATAACCTTGACGTTTTTATAACAGCCCAACAATTGCATAACTTTCATCAAAGATTACAGAAGTGTTCAGCCTCGAGATGAGCAGATGTTGTTTGCTGCCGCCTGCAGAGATGTTTGTGCAACGGTGCATAAAACAGTCGGCTCTCACTGGTGGTCGGGAAAAACACAGAGTGCACACACAGAGAGAAAAAACAACAGGTAAGAAGGTCACATATATCTGTCAGTCATGTCAACAGCAAGCTTTTAAAGTAAAAGTGGAAAAACATCAGTCTAAAAATACTGCATTCCCACCACTGGGGGGATTTACAGTATCAGCTGTTGTTCTCTTACATGCTGTGTCAACGTGAACTACAATAAGTGTTAGAGCCAGTATTTTTGATTTGATAAGAAAGGCCACCAAATTCTAACGTCTGTAGTCAACACACTATAAAGGACTACAATTCCCACGGCGCCTGTGCTAACGCCACAGTGATTGGCAACCTGTTGAGAGACGCCGTCAGTTTTTAACCGTAACGTAACACTCGTGCTCGTACCGTATATACAAACCGTACAAGTACCCTTTAAGTTGTAAAGTATAAGCATTATCACGAAAGAAAGAATACCTAAGTTGTTTGTTTTATTTGAGTTTTGCCTATTTATTTTGAATATTGTAAAGGCCTATTTTTCTTTGTTGCATGTGCAAAAGTTTGTTATTTTATTTTGAGCAAACACATCGCAACATCTTCTAAACCGTCGGAGGCCAAGCAGCACTTCAAACTGTGAGTAATTTAAGGAAAGAAACGAGTTAGAACTGTCTGTTTAAGGCGTCTAGTGGCTTAAATGGAAAAACAAGGAAGGAAGCCACGACATTGTTAAAAACTCTCGTGACGGACAAATCCGTGTGGAATTAAATGGTTGCCACCATATTATTATAATTAATGAAATACTCTTGGAACAGCGGGAGCGGTACTGCAGTCTCTTTACCGCACCGTTGTGACGAAAAGGGAGCTGAGCCAGAAGGCAAAGCTCTCTGTCTACCGCGCCATTTTCGTTCCTACCCTCACCTATGGTCATGAAGGATGGGTCATGACCGAAAGAACGAGATCGCGGTACAAGCAGCCGAGATGGGTTTCTCCGCAGGGTGGCTGGTGTCTCCCTTAGGATAAGGTGAGAAGTTCGGTCATCGAGGGAGGACGTCG